ATCCCTGGGATGAAACCAACGTGGGCATGGTGTATGATATTTTCAATGTGTTTTGAATTTTGTTTGCAAGAATCTTATTGAGGATTTTTTCATCCATGTTCATCAAGGATATTAGTCTGTAGTTTTTTGTTGTTGTTTAGTCTTTATCTGGTTTTGGTATCACTAACAAGGAAGTGAAAGACCTCTACAGTGAAAATTACAGAACACCAAAGAAAGAAATTAAAAACATTAGAAGATGGGAAGACCTCCCATGTTCATGAATCAGCAGAATTCATACGTTGTTAAAATGGCATGTTACCAAATGTGAACTATAGCTTCAATGCAATCCCTATTGACACGCCAATGGCATCTTTCACAAAACTAATAAAATCCTAAAATTCATATGGAAGAAAAGACCTAGAATAGCCAAACAATCTCAAGCAAAAAGAGCAATGTTGGAGGCATCATAATAGTTAATTTCAATATATATTATAAAACTATAATAATCAAAACAGCATGATATTGGCATTAAAAATAGGTGTGCAGACCAGTGGAACAGAATCGAGGTCACCAAAACAAATCACTGGGATCCAGGCCAGCTAGATCCATTGGCCCCTAGTGTGCAGTTAATCTCTTGCACTCCTTTGTATTTGACTTTTGGGGTAATTATCATAAATAATCCTATAAACTATGTGTCCTGTAGTAAATGTATTCTTTTACCAAAACCCTGACTACAACAGTATATGACCTGAAATCTTGAAACTGCTAGAAGAACATACAGGGGAAACACTTGAAATCATAGGCACAGGCAGACTTCCTGAATAGGACTCCAGTAGCACAAGAAATAGAGCAAGAGTCAACAGACAGGACTATATCAAATTAAAAAGCCTCTGCACCACAAAGAAACAGTTGACAGAGCAAAAAGCCTACAAAATAGGAGGTCTTTGCCAGACATTCTTTTGAGAAACCATTAATATCTGAGTACATAAACTCAAAAATTAACACTAGAAAAACAACCCAATCAATAAATGGGCAAATGAATTGTGTGTAGACACTTGTCAGAAAAACTACAAATGGCCAATAAGCATATGGAAAAAAAAAAACCTTCAACATCTTCTTCAGCCATTAGGGAATGCAAATCAAAACCACACTGAAATTCCATCTCACCCCAGTCAGAATGGCTATTATGAAGAATACAAAATCAAAGCAAACAGAACAGTAAACGTTGGCAAGAATATGGGGGGAAAGGAACCCTTCTTCACTTTTTGTCAGTATAACCACTATGGCCACACGAATGGAGGTTCCTCAAAGAACTAACACTAGAGATACCATTTGATCTAACAGTGTCACTCCTTGACATATTCCTGAAAGAACTGAAGACAGCACACTGCAGTGCTACCCGCAGACCCATGGGTGCTGCATCATAATAGCTAAGCTGTGGAAATGGCTTGGGGGCCCAAGAACAGAAGAATGAATGAAACAATATTATTCAGGAGGAAGAACAAAAAAACAATCATTTCATTTACAGGAAAATAATGGAACTGGGGTCCATTATATTACGCAAACCCTCAGAAAGTAAAGACAGTGCATGTTTTATATAAAATCTTAAAAATTGGAGAAAATGTTTTAAAAAGGAGAGATGACAGGAAAATAGAAGACCATTATTAGAGATGAAGAATGTGATCCAGCAGAGAGAGGAGGGAAGAGGTAGAAAGAAGTGGTTATAAGAGTTACAGGGGTGAAAATGATCGAAGTATGCTGTATGCATGCGCCATTGTGCCAAAATGAAACCCATTACTCTGGATAACATGCACCAGTTAAAATACTTAGAAATAATTTAAACAAAGAAGTGTGAGGTGTGTACACTAAAAGCATTATTGAAAGAAATTTAAAAATACAAAGTAAATGAAAAGGCACTCTGTTCCTAGGATCGGAAGATGTAAAATCATTAAGACTGCAACACTTCCTTAATTGATCTGCAGATTCAATTTAATTCCCAATAAAACTGTAACTGGTTTTTTTGCAGAAATGTAAAAACTCATCCTAAAATTCATGTGGAAATGGAACCAAATCAGAACAGTCAAAACAGTCTTGGAGCTGGGGATTTAGCTCAATGGTTCTGCCACCTGCCTCCACGGTTTCCAAACCCTACTGTGATAAGTTGCCTCTTTCCTGTCCCTTTGTGTGCACATCATTGGGAAATATCCCCAGGAGCAAAACATCTAAGACCTGAGATACAGAAATACCGGATGTCACTAACCAGAGTGCAGTTGACTTCCAAGCTAGCTGTGCCCAGCTACATATGGACCAGCAGGGCACGCATTGTCCCGAACTTCTCATCCCTGTCCTGACACAAGGCTCAGAAGGGCCAGTATCACTCACAGGCTAGAATTTGCAAAAAACACCGAAACTTCTCAGGCTTCTTTGACATTCAGGACTCTGGTGTAGGGAGGGGTAGGAGTGGGCAGCTTGTTCCTCAGATAGAGAAAGGGAAGGAGAGAGGGAGAGAGTATGAGGGAGAAAAAGGGAGGATCCCAGCCATCAGTAGCTGAGCAACAAGGCTGTTCCCATAGCTTGGCCCCAGGGCAAGTAGAAGCCAGACTCTTGGGCAGCGTGTGGCCCATCCCCCTAGAAGAGCTTCGATGAGGCATCATGATGTCTCCAGTCAAGCAATTCACAAGCACCCACAGCAGAGGTCTCAGATTTAAGGTCAGGCTCCTGGCCTGGGGAGGACTGGCTCCAGGGAGAAGAGGGCAGTCTGCTATTTGGGTAGAAACTGCAACAGTCCTGAGTGTGACTCCACCATACCAGCCAGTCCAGGGCCACGTGCCTGCCTTTTGACCTCCACAAAATGAAGGTGGTGTCACAGCGGTTGTAGAGGCACTGTCCTTGGGATCCAAGGTCTTTGTATACATTTGTTATTGTGGGTAATGTCTGGGGCAATTTTTCCATCCCTTACCCTGGAGTGCACAGGCTGCCACGCAGTCACTTCCAGGCTGGGCTGTGGCATCTCTCAACTACCTCCCTGCAGCCTCACACAAGGATCCTGGCCTGACCCAGAGACCTCTGGCTCCTAACTCTGCTGCCACCAGTCTTGGGAGGACGGCAGGGCTGGAGGACAAGGGCAACTGTGACAGCAGGAAGCCCCTCTCTGGACCCCAGTAAAGACAAGGAACCCGTAGCTTGGGGCCATCAGCTTTCTCCAGCCCTCTAGGTTTCCACCTGGAAAATTTCCCTTTCCCCACCCAGTTGGATAACTGGAACTTTGAATTCTTCAAAGCCAAGAATTCACCTCTCCCTCTGTGGGCCATATTTCTCACCTACCCTGGAGCAGCATGACTAAGTTCGAAAGAATTCCAGATAGCAGTCAGTCTGCTACAAAATAGGCATCATCAGGTATTTCTACTGTAGAGGAAAATGGAAAAGAAGGACAGAGGATTTGGGAGATAAACACAGGAGCATCCTCCTTTGAGTCTAAAAGAGGTGATTGTGGCATGTATGCCCAGACCCAAGGGTGGAAGTCCCTGGGAAGGAAAAGAGACCTGGGATTCAGGGATGAGTCCTGTGCAGCAGAATGTAGCATGAGGCTACCATCTGGGGAACAGTGGAGGAGGCAACAGAAGCCTAGGGCTGCTGGCCACCTCCTGGCTAGGTAGATCCTGTGGACAGCGAGCTGGAGCATCAGTTATAACCCAAAGAGCAAGAGGAGGCAAGCTGTCTACAGACCAGCACACCATGCCCACCCCTGTCTCCAACCTCAATGTCAGAAGAGCAAGTGCCAGCAACAGGAAGTGGGGAGACTCCCCTCCCACTCCCCTCCTCGGCTGTGAATACAGTAGGATTAGCCTGCGCTGAGTGCGGGAAAGGAGACTGACATTCAAACATGAACTCTCAAGGACTTTCATTTGCAGAAATATGGCAAACCAGATCATCTGAAACCACACCTACCTGAAATATGCCCAAAATTGCCGGGCACAATGGAAATGCATAGCTGGTCTTGAAAGAAGTAAAGGGCCAAAAGATGAAAAGGGAACCAACTATTAGATCTGCAACCACGCGACACCCCTCCTCCACCCGGCTGCTCTGGGGAGGACTGATCTTCTCTCAGTACACAGCTTTGGGTTTTAATGCTGGCAGGAGGTGGGAGAGAAGTCCTTGGACCCCCCAACACACACACACACAGGGCTGCATGCACCCTCGTAAAGTCTACCCACTATCAACTCTTTCAGGGACACTGGACTGGGGCTGGGTTCCAGAGTGCGGACACTGATTTCCTTGAGAATTCAGCGTCAGCAGCCAGTATTCGTGAGATCATATTCAGTTGTATAGATCCCACATGGTCCAGAAAATCCGAAGTCAGAACTTGGGTAGGAAAGGCAGCCGCATCCCTGCGACCCCCTCACCACCGTGGACAGGCCCGGGATCAGAAGGCCCTGCCCCAGCAGCTCCTAAGGGACTTCAGCAAGGGGAGAAGGGTGTCGGCTGCCCTTGAGGGCCACCGCACGCCGGCAACGCCCGCCTGCCCTTCTGTCTTCCTGGAGGACGCTCATCATTACACCGAGCCCACCTGGTTCATCCGCCCTCTTCTCAGGTAATATCAAAAACCTGAGGGGCAGACAGGTTACCCTCCAGCCCCAAAGCATTTTGTTTGGGTTCCCTAAGGCTGCCGTAATGATTCACTCAAAACTTGGTGGCTTAAGATAACACAAATGTGAGCTTACAGTTCCGGAAGCCAGGAGACCAACATGGGATCTCACTGGTCTAAACCCAGGCGCTGGCAGAACCGCACCCCTTTCTGCGGAGAATCCTTTACCTCACCTCTCCTGGCTTCCACAGGCTGCTCTCTTTCCTTGGCTGGTGGCCCCTTCCTCCATCCAGGTCCAAAGCCACAAAATCATGCTGAGGTCTTCCACACTGCTGTCTGTTCACCCTCCTACTCATGAGGTCACGCGTGATTACGTTGGTCCCACCTGGATAAGCCCAGCCCGCTTCCCCCGAATGATTAGTAACATAAATCCCACCTGCACCTTTAATTCCCCTTTGCCATGGAGGTCACATCTTCACAGGTTCCGGAGAGTAGAATTTGGAGCACTCAAATCCTCCTGTAGCTCCAGCTTTGACCTGGGGCCCCCAGCACCGCCACCTGGGTCTGCGGCAGGGGAGGCCTGAGTAGCATGGGCCTTGGGAACAGTCGAGGTCCTAAGGGCCGGTGTGGCTTGCTCAGGTTCCCGGGCAGAGCTGGAACCCAGGGGAGAGCGGAGAGCGGCCCGGAACCCCACGGGGCTTCCCTGTGAGCTGATCTCCCCTCGGGCACAGGCAGGCCCGCGGACCCCGGAGCCTTCGGGCTCTCCGAGTAAGAAGCTACGACCTGCAGACGAGGAAACCGAGCCACGGACAGGGAGAAAACCAGGACCATCCGTGTAAACAAGTTTAAAACCAAGCCCCTGCACTCACCAGGAGGGAGGAGGGACTCACGGCGACGCCACAGTGCCCTCTGCCGGCCGGGCGCCCCACGCATGCGCTGCTTCCCCGGACCGCGTGGGCGGTGCACCTGGTCGTGCACCACCGCCCGTACTTGAGGATTCCGCCTCCCCCAAGGAGGGTCGGTCAGTCCTGTCCCACGCCCCTCGTGGCCGGAGCAGGACAATGCCACCTGCTGAGTGGAGCGCTTCACCAGACTTGGGCGGATAGGGGGTGGAAGGAGGAAGAGATCTGGGTTCCTCTCCCCGTTTTTATCTGGAAAACTGAACCAAACCCAGTGCTGAGAGCCTGCAGAGACAGCGAACACAGGACTCTGGTAGCCACTCTACCCAGTCCCGAGGCAACCCGTTCTGGGTCTGTCAGACATGCTAAGAGGGGTCCTGTGAGCTTCATGCTTCCTTCATTCATTAAGCTGCTATGAAGTGCCAGGCATGTGCCAGAAAGACACACACACACACACACACACACACACACACACACACACACACACTCGCGCCTGTGCCCGTTTTTAGTACCTCCTTTATTTCACCTGTATTGTTGACACAGCACTTGACATCCAAAGATTACATACTTTTTATTTTGTCTGTTACCACACGTGCACGCGCACATGTGCACACACTTTTGTCTGCTTCATTCATTGCATTCCTAGTGCTTAGGAAAATTGCCTTATACATGTTGTTCATTGAATACTTGTTGACTCAAAGAGGTCACAATTCAGTAAACTAGTTTATTCTTTAAAGTTCCCTAAAACTGTGGGAATTATATTATGCATTTTGCGGAAGAAAAGGCTGAGGATGGGAAATTTAAGTGGCCGATACAAAGAGACTCAACTCTTGGTGGAGTGAGGAGGAAACACAGGACTCCTGACTGCTCTCAGTGCCCCTACTCCCATAAAAATGGCAATTATTGGGTAAAACAGAGAGAAATAAGAGATACTGATATTATCAGTTTAATTTTTATTTTATTTATCTTAAATAATGAATGTTAATAAAATTCATGTGGTAAAATGACAGACCATCTCAGCTTTAAAATCCCTTCCAGATCATTAATAAAATATTTAGATGTATTTTAATGTTTATATTTAAATATTCTATATACATTCAAAGTTCTACTGAGAGACAATAAGGAAAATAATCAGAAGGCAGAAATCACATAAAACTCAAAATTATATAGGAATGAGCTGATTTTGTCTCGACGACATCTGTTGATTCTTAATGTCCTAGACCCGGAAACATACTGAGCTGTGCACAACACACAGAGTTCTGATCAGAGATCCCTGCATGAATCTGGGAATACAAAGGTCAACACCTTCATTGTGTTGACTCTGCTCTTAAGAAATCCACAGCCAAGCCCCAACCTTTCCCTGTTCAACTGAGAAGGATGCAAGAATTCACACCTCCTGTGAAATTGAAGGACCTCTTCCCAAAAATTCCTTCAGAAATTTGTTTAAAGTGATTTGAAGTTGGTAGGGCTTCCTGGCAGCTAGCACAAGCAAATACTGTACAAATCCTCTGAAAGGTCCAAGGCACAGCCTTAAAGATTTCTCAGAGATAGTAACAAGAGCATGACTACATAATTAAAAGTCACAAAACATCAAGAGACAAAGTGCCATGAAGTAGTAATGATACCCTGGATACATCAAACCAAATTCTGACATAACTGGAAAGTGAAAATGCAAGTGAGAAATTTTGGGGAAGGGGAAGAATCCAGAGAAGTTAGCCTAGAATTTTAAGGCATTTTGAGCATGGTATACTAAAAAGATTGCCCATCAGAAGAACGGAAGCTGAATTTCAAAATCATGCCAATCCCTGACTACATTAAGATGACCTAATCTAGTGGCCTGCAAGAAAGGTACTCCTCTTAACAATCCAGAACTTCAGGACAGGAAAATGGCAGAGTGGTGATCAGCAGCAAAATTCAGCCTCTCTGAAATCTGGAATCCAAACACTGGAAAATAATTTGATGAAGACAAAAGAGTAGACCACCAGGAGTTGGGAAGGAACTGACTGGAAATTTTGAAGCTACCGAGAAGTTGGGGAGATGGTCCGCAATGCAGAGAAAAGAACAAAACAACCTAGAGTTTCCTGGCTCCCGGCTCATAGGGTGGAGAACCTGGATCCCCCGAAGAAGGGTAAGCTCCCAGGGCTGGGACATCTAGGAGGAAATGGTGTTGGAGCCCACAGCTATTGTAAACTGCAAAACTAGTGTGGGGTTTGCTCTGAGGGAACTCCTTCCACAGAGCAGGTAACAACCAGAAAGAGACCCTGGCACAGAGCCCACCATAGTGCCAGAGAGTGCTTAATCAGTTATTTGGGGGAAGGGCTTGATTATTTAGGGAAGGGCTAAATTATTATTTTATTTTGGGAAGGGCTTGATTATTTAAATCTGGGAGATAGCCATGGACAAGGAGAGGGCTAGAAAGAGATCCCTGGAGAAGTTTAAATATAGGCCTAAAGACATGGATTTTATTGCTTGTGTCTAGATGGCCCCACAAAGCCTCACAGGGTCATGGTGGGCTTTTTCAGAGGTGGCTAGGATTAAGGGTGTGTGATTACTAAATTAGTGCACTGATTGGTTTAGCACAGTTCTGAGTGTGGTTAATGGGAAAGCACATCCTGGGTGTGGGTGCTACCCACCCTATAGGAGTGTAGCCTGGATAATAAATAATAAGCCTGGATAAAAACAGAAAGAGGGTTTTTGTTGTCACTTGCTGCTTGGTGCTTTGTTTCTTCACTATTTTGCTGCCTTCTGCCTGCCATGAATTGTTTCTCCACTGCGATGCCCCTCTGCCATGGAGCAAGCCAATTATGAACTGAAACCTCTATGAACTGGAGCTAAATAAATGTTTCCGCCTTTAACTTTGGGTGTTGGGTATTTTGTCTCAGCAACTAAAAAAGTAACTAGGACAATGGGCCCCATACCCCGCAGTGAGAAGCCAGGCCTGGGTCCATTGCACTCAAAAAAAGCTGGGTCTGAAAGTGCTGTCATTGAGTACTTGAAACCCTTGCCCAGCTGCCTACATCCAGCACCGATGTGAGTCTTAGTGCTTTCCCCATCTACCAACATGAGCAAGGACACATCTCAAAGTGGACATTGCCTCATGTTTTGGAATAGGAGGACACCTCAAAAACCCATAGGCCATGAGGCTAGGTGGAAAAAATCATGACTTGTTGGGCTCCAAACCTGTGGATCTTGGAAGGAAACCACTCACTCAAAAATACAGAAAAATTTTTTTTCTGTTTGTGGACTTATTTCCTTTCTCCTTTTTTTTTCTTTCTTCTTTCTTCTTCACTTGTTTATTGGGGTTTGGAGAATTCTCCTTTGTATTTTTCTTCTCTCTCTTACTTTTAATTTTTTTCTCTTTTTCCTTTTGAATTTTTTCCATTGTTCTCTATATTATTTCTTTTTCCCTCCCATTTTTCTTCAATCTTCTATTTCTCATTGGTTTTTTTCTGTTACCTTTATCTAATTCTATAAATATCCTTCTACTTCTTGATAGGATCCTTTGTCTCACTTTTCTCTCCTCCTCCTCTCCCACTGTTTAATTTTTCAAATGTTTCTTCTTGCATTCTCCCATTCCCAACCTCCTATATCAGTGATGACAAACCTTTTAGAGCTTTCAATGATAGCAAACAGCCTGCTGCAGCACATGTGCCATAGGTTCACCACCACTGCCCTATATTGTTAATAGGATAACCATTAAACTTTATTAATCTTTAGCAGTTAACTCTATGTTATTACTATTGAATTCTTTTCTATCATTACAGGAAGTATAGTTATATTTAGTAGATATTAGCGAGATGTCAATATTTGATATGTCTTAGAGTTTGTAATACAATTATAGATTTCTAAGGTTAAAGGTGATTCACTAATCGTTCTTATGGTAGGTTCAGTTTGTCTTGGATGATATTACTGTGGCTGATTTACTTGATGTTGCCAGGGTTACTATTAATATGTTTTCTCTATATGCTAATATCTGGATTACTTTTAAGACATTAAAAATACTTCAGGGCTGGGGATTTAGCTCAGTGGTTTTGCCGCCTGCTGCACAAGCGCAAGGACCCAAGTTCGATCCCCGATACCAAAAAAAAAAAAAAATACTTCAGTCCACTCCTGAAGAACTGGGTGCTGGGCGAATTACACTGCATCTTCCTCTTCAAAGTAACAGAGGTAGTTGGATCTTGGGACAGAGGCAAAGGAGTTTAGTTAGCCATGCCCTCCCCAACTGCATCAATGAAAAGCAAACTAATGAAAGAGATATCCATCCTAACAACAAAATCTTTCCATTTTAAGTGACCACAAAATAAAATAAAATAGTCTCCAGACACACTCAGCCACCTTATCTTCAACAAAGGAGCCAAACACCTTCACTGAAAGAAAGATAGCCTCTTTAATAAATGGTGCTGGAGGCCTAAGGATCCTGAAAGCTGCCCTGTGATGGAAGAGGACCAGGAGCTGGAGAGGTACTAGGGTAGCAGAAATGAATCTCAGTTGGCCCCTGCTTTCATAGAGTTGGCAATCTGGCGGGGCAAAAGAGCTATACAAATCCTGAAAAAGCACCCCCTACCGAGGTCCTGAGTCATACAGAACACGCCGAATCAGCCCACTGCAGACAGGCAGGTCTGTGCATGCCCCTACCGAGATCCTGAGTCGCACAGAACACGCCGAATCAGCCCGCTCCAGACAGGCAGGTCTGTGAACGCCCTACCGAGGTTCTGAGTCGCGCAGAAGACACCGAATCACCCCACTGCAGACAGGCAGCCACCTG